CTTTGTTTTGGCCCAAAGTGACATTACTTGTTTTGATTAATTGCCACTTTACCAACTAGACCTATCTCCAAGTTACTCGGGTATCTTTAATAAAAGATCAAATCCGGCCGGGCACGGTGGCGCATGCCTGTGATGTCAGCACTTGGGAGGTCAAGGCTGGCGGATCTCTCCCGCTGAAGCAGGAGAATTGCTTGAACCTGGGAGGTGGAGTTTGCAGTGAGCCGAGATCACGCCATTGCACTCCAGCCTGGGCGACACCAGTGAGACTCTGTCTCAAAAAAGAAAAAAAAATTTAATTGCAAACTTAACATCTGCCTCTTTAAAAATTATACCAGGAATATACTTGGCTGTGAATAAACTGGTGCTTTTAGTTGGAGTGAGAGTTATTTATCAAATATAGAATGACGGGAGGAAAGTGGCTGCTGTCCTCACGCAGTGGCTCAAAAATGCCAAGGTTAGTGTCCGAATCCATTGGCCTTTCTCTTGGCATTTGAGAAGACTACCCATCTCTAGGCATTGCATCTTTATTTAAGGTGGAAAGAAGGGGGCGTGCTTGACATGAGTGATGTGACCTTTTTCTCAGGTAAGCAAAACCTTTCCAAGAGGACTTTGAAAAATTCTGAAGTCTCATTTGGCCACAGTTCTGTGTGATACGGTTACCACTAGCTATCGGGGAGGCTGGAAAAGTGAAGATATTTCCTATTACAGAAAAAGCAGGCAAGGAAAGGGTTGGAAATAGATTTGGAATTAGCTATTTAACGGGGTTTGCTAAAGGCTGTTAAATAGCTAATTGAAAGCTAATTGGCCGGGCGCGGTGGCTCAAGCCTGTAATCCCAGCACTTTGGGAGGCCGAGGCGGGTGGATCACGAGGTCAAGAGATCGAGACCATCCTGGTCAACATGGTGAAACCCCGTCTCTACTAAAAATACAAAAAAAATTAGCTGGGCATGGTGGTGCGTGCCTGTAATCCCAGCTCCTCAGGAGGCTGAGGCAGGAGAATTGCCTGAACCCAGGAGACGGAGGTTGCGGTGAGCCGAGGTCGCGCCATTGCACTCCAGTCTGGGTAACGTGAGTGAAAACTCCGTGAGAAAAAAAAAAAAAAAAAAAAGAAAGCTAATTTGTGAGACTGGTCACAGGCTCTGAAGGGAGTTGAGCCATTTAGAGCAACAGGACCGTCGGTTGAATAAGTTCATAACTTTCCAAAATAGATGAACTTATTCAAACCTTTTCTGCTTTTTCTGTAATACATTTCTTTGAAAGGAATGTCACTTATTTGGAAGTATAAATTCTGAATTTAAAATCGCATGTCCAATTACTTTACCATCACTTTCCTCACTATGTGGTTTCTGAGTTGAGGAGCAGTCTCAGTGTTGAAGAGAAAGGGCATTCTAGACAGGCAGCAGTGGTAGCAGCTATGCCATTGTTCTGAGTTTCATTTGTCTCCAAAATGCCTAGTAAGATACCTCCACCTGGACATCATATGAGCATCTTTACAATACTTTATTGAGATACAGTTTACATAGAGTAAAATGTGTAAGTACTGAATATACGGCCAGTGTATGCTGAGAAATGTATACACCTGTGTGACTATCACCTAAATCAAGATGAAGATTTCCATCATCTCAGAAATTTCCTCTTGCCGGTTTCCACTGAAGCCCCACCCATTCCAGGCAATCACTCTTCTGGTATGTATCAGAACAGATGTGTCTGTCACCTTCTTAGCAGTGGAAGTCACAGAATCACATATTACATACTCTTTTGCGTTTGGCTTCTTTTGTTCAACAGTGTTTTTGAGAGTTATCCATGATGTATGATTAGTTCTTAGTTTCTTTCCTTTTTTTGGCCAAGTGTAATATTCCATTATATGAACATACCACAGAATTTCTCCAGTTAATGGAAATGTAAGTTTCAGTTTTCAGCTAGAGGAATAAAGCCGCCAAGACCGCAAGCGTTTTGAGCAGTACCCCAGATGGAATTGTTCATCTCTTATCTTCAGTTGCTTGTTCTGAGGCTCCCAATTTTCCTCATCTTACTGAATAGTCCCAGTTTACTTTGAGATTAGCGCCACCTTATTTGAGTATTGTACCACCGTAGTTTGAGTTATTCAAAATAAAACGAAATCATTTTTTGATCTTTTTATTCTAACAGATAATTATTGACCTTTTGTTAGGGACTAGACTTGGTGGTAGAGATATAATAAACTATAATGGTGGCCCCGGCAATCATGGAGATAAGTTTGAAAAAATTGCTTTGGAACTCTAGAAGTGCAAAGGAGAGAAGTACCCAGCCTGGGGCAGCTTTGGCAGACTTCCTGGAGGAGAAGGTATTTTAACTGAAATCTGAATGGCCCAAACAAGTTAAACAAAGGGAAGTATATACCAGAATATGAGTAGCATTGTCATAGGTAACAGAGCAAGGGAGATCACAGGAACTGCTAAAAGTCAGTATCACGGCTATAGAGAGGGTGTGAGGTGGCGAAGGGAGGAAGTGGCAGGAGAGGAAGGGGTCAGGTTTAACGATGTGTGCTGACTTTGATGGGGTGATGAGAAGTGACTGGGGTTAAAGCAGGGAACGTTACACTTGTGCTTAATTCAACGTGAAGGGTGCGCTTGGAGCGGGGCAGTGCTGGAGGCAAGGAGGTCTGCTCGGAAACGGTGGCGTGTTCCAGGCCAGAAGGGAGGAGCTAAGGAGTTGCATTGGAATTAGGAAGAGATTTTTGGCCCTCTAAGAGGACGTTTGAGAAACTAGTGAATGTTGAGGAAAAGGAGTGTCAGGCAAGAAGAATATGCAGCAGGTTAGTTTTAAAGTTAAGGAAACTGTTGACATGATCCGGGCATGAGCTAAGGGACTAGACTGGGAATTTTAGAAGTATTTTGGATAGAGTTGACTTTTAATTGGATAAGAATAAAGGAAAGAGAACTCCAAAATGACTTCTAGATATCTATTTTTTTGAGACAGGGTCTCTGTTGCCCAGGCTGGAGTGCAGTGGTGTCACCTTGGCTCACAGTTCGAGCCCAACCTCCACCTCCCGGGTTCAAGAGAGTCTTGTGCCTCAGCCTCGAGAGTAGCTGGGATTACAGGTGCGCACCATCACAGCCAGCTAATTTTTGTATTTTTAGTACAGACGGGGTTTCCCAATGTTGGCCAGACTGGTCTTGAACTCCTCACCTTTAGTGATCTGCCTTCCTCGGCCTCCCAAAGTGCTGGGATTACAGGTGGGAGTCGCCATGCCCAGCCTAGATTTTTAACCTCAGTAACTGAGAAAACTCTGGTTCTACTGAAAGAGTACATCAGAGCTGGAGGTGTTCATAGAGGAGAATGAATTAGTTCTATTTTGAATATATTGGGTTTAAAGTAATGGGGAACATATCCAAATAGCGGTATTCAATACACAGTTGGAAATACCAGAGTAGCAAGTTGACATTAGGACTAAAGAAATACATTTGAATCATTTACCTACTTAGAAGTCATTCAGGCCGCAAAAAAATTCAACCAAATGTGTGCTTGTTTTAGGGGCTGGGACACAAAGACAAAAGATGTGCCCTCTGCTTTTGAGGCGCTTTGAGGCCAGTAGGGATAATAGGTCATGATATTCCTCACTCGATATTATGCGGTATATATGTTATCCCTGAACGCATCCCTTCTAGAAGGGATATTATAATATCCCTTGTATAATAATCTGTACATTATTATCCCTTATAATAAGGGATAGCCGGGCATGGTGGCTCATCTGTGTAATCCCAGAACTTTGGGAGGCCAAGGCGGGCAGATCACCTGAGGTCAGGAGTTTAAGACCAGCCTGACCAACATGGTGAAACCCCATCTCTACTAAAAATACAAAAATTAGCTGGGCATGGTGGTAGCCACCCGTAATCCCGGCTACTAAGGAGGCTGAGGCAGGAGAATCGCTTGAACCTGGGAGGCAGAGGTTGCAGTGAGCTAAGATTGTGTCATTATACTCTTGCCTGGGTGACAAAGTGAGACTCTATCTCAAAATAATAATACTAAGAGATAATGTGTTCGGGGTACAAACAGGAAGGGATCTTTACTTTGTGACCTGGAAGGTTACAGTTTTACAACAGAGAAGAATGTTTCAAGAATGTATATAGGCTGAGTTTGAATTGGGTAGAGGAACTAGGGTAAAGGAGAAGGGGAAGACCCTGGGAGTTAAAGGTGAAATTGAAGAGAAGGAAATGCTGTTACGGAAGCCAGGACTGGGAGGCATGATCCGTAGTGTCAGATGTTTTGAGGAGGTCAAGCTGTAAGGACTCGAACAACAAAGATTTTTATTTATTTATTTTTTTTACTGTTGGCGTAAGAACTAACAAATACATTTGGTGGATGTCTCCGAAACAGTGAAATAAAGAAGGGGAGAGGTGGGACGAGTGTATTAATTTATAATGGTCAATACTTATAAAAGGAAATAATTATTTGAATTTGGAATGTCTCCAAGGAAAATACATGTGTTTGTTCCAGAAATTGACCAAACTTTAAACAAAAAAACCAGAAGTCATTCTCTGCTGATTGAAACTGACAGCTGGGCGTGGTGGCTCATGCCTGTAATCCCAGTACTTGGGGAGGCTGAGGCGGGT